AAAAACAAAAACAAAACCTGATCTGGAAAACAGTCACAACAAAAAAAGGGCCTAGACATCATGTTTCAAATAATCATAAACTAAAACTGTCTACATCTCTTAGAACCAACAGGTGAAATAGAAATTGAAAGAATCCACTGGTCATCTCCTGAAGGTAACCCACAAATGAAAACTCCCAAGAATATTATAAACAAAATCCCAACTCCCAGATCAAAGAAAAATGCTGCAAGCAGTCAGAGAGAAAGAATTTCAATAACAAGGTGCCACAGTCAAGATTTAGCCACCACTCTAAAGGAGTGAAGACCCAAAGGTCTAGGCTTACAACCAAGAAAAACCTACCCAGCAAAACTGAGTGTAATACTGTGGGGGAAAATGAATCTTTAATGAAATAAAGGACTTCCACGGGCATTTCTGATGAAAAGACCAGAGCTAAGCAGAATACAGGAGTCAAGAGAAGTATTCCAAGGTGATCAAAAAGTTGTCCTGAGATTTGTCCAGTCTTGAGAATCTGACTAGTGAAAAGAGAGTTTCTGCATTAAAGAGGATGACCATTAACGGGGGAAAGATCTTCATCCCTCCCTAGCCTGACTTGTCAGAAGACTGGAAATGAAGGACTGGAATAGAGTCTACTGTGCTTCAGCTGAAGTGAAGCAGGCAGGGATGCCAATCACGATCTCAGACACTGCAAAAGCAAAATTAGACCTAATTGGAAGAGATAATCAGGGAAATTTTGCTAGAAGGTACCATAGACAATCACAGGACAAAGGCCTCATTTCTTAAATATATAGGGAACTGAGTCAAATTTATAAAAATAAGCAATTCCTCAATTGACAAATGGTCAAAGAATATGAACAAGTCAATTTCAGCTCTCTGTAGTAATATGAAAAAAATGCTCTAAATCACTATTGATTAAAGAAAAGTAAATTAAAATAACACCTCACACTTATCAGAAATGACAAATGATGGAGGGAAAACAGGTACATTAATGAACTATTAGTAGAGTAATGAAGTTGTCTACCCATTCTGAAGAACAATCTAGAACTATTCTGAAAGGCCTATAAAATTATGCATATCCTTTGATCCAGCAATACCACTACAGGTCTGTACCCCAAAGAGATCAAAAAAAAATGTACAAAAATAGTGATAGCAGCTCTTTTTGTGGTAGCAAAGAACTGGAAATTGAGAGGATGCTGCCATCAACTGGCGAATGGCTAAACAAGTTATGGTATGTGATGATGATGGAGTACTATTGTCCTTTAAAAAATGACAATGGAGTAGTTTCAGGAGAAAAAAAACAACCTTGGCAAGATCTATATGAATTGATACATAGTGAAGTGAGACGAACCAGGAGATCACTGGGCACAGTAACAGCAATGTTGTAACGATGATCAACTGTGAAAGAGTTGGCTGCTGTGATTAATACAGTGACCCAAGACAGTTCCAAAGGACTCATGATGAAAAAATGCTATCCACCTCCAGAGACAGAAATGAACTCAGTGCAAACTGGAGTATCATATTCTTACTTTCATCTTTTTTTTTGCTTTTTTGTGACATGGCTAATATGGAAATATGTTTTGTGTGATTTCAACATGTATAATAGATATATTGTTTGCCTTCTCAATGGGTGTGGGAGGGAAAGAATCTGGAACTTAAAATTTAAAAAAAAGAATGTTAAAAATTAAAAATAATTTTAAAAAAAGAAATAATGAGGGCATGAACTAGGATTGTGGTTGTGTGAATAGAGAGAAGGGGTAGTGTAATGAGAAATATTTTAAATGTAAGGTGACAAGATTTAGCAACAGATTGGAGTATTGAGTGAGTAAAAGTGAGGAGTTGAGGATGACGTGAGCCTGAATGACTGAGGGAATTACTTCAAAAGTAATCAGGAAGATGGGAAAAGGGGGAGGGTTTGGGAGGAAAGAGAATGAGTCCTACTTTGGGCATATTGGGTTTGATTCAAGATGTCTAGAATGCTTAGTAATGCAGAATTAAGGCTCTGGAGAGAAACTTAGCTTGGATATATAGACCTGGAAATCATCTACACAGAGATGTTCATTAATGGGAGCTGTTGAGATCACCAAGCAAGATACTATAGAGGGAGAAGAGAAAGGGGCCTAGCATCCTTAGGGATCCTCATGATGAGTGAGCACGAAATGGATTGAGGTCATCAAAGGAAGGTAGCAAACATTAAGTGCTTAGTGTTTACTAAGTGTCAGGCCCCTTTCTAACTTTAAACTTTTTTTAACTTTTTCTTTTTTCTAGAAAAAAAGTCTAGAAGAAAGAAGAAAAGAAAGAAGAAAAAGAAAAAAGAAGAAGTCTTCTAGAAAAAAGTCTAGAAGAAAAGTCTTTTTTAAGACTTTTTAAGACTTTAAGACTTTAAACTTTTTTTCTAACTTCTTTTTAACTTTTTTCTCTCTCTCTGAATTTTTTAAGCAATGGAGAGATAAATACAAGTAAAAAGACAGTCCCTTCCCTCAGGGAGGGGTTGGTGAGAAAGTTAGGAGAGGAGTAAGAGGCAGTAGTGATGATATTAAAAAAAAAAAAAGAATCAAATAACATGAATGTATAGTTAAAAAAAATAAACAAAAGAGAAAAGGAAGTTTCTAAGGGGATAAACCAGCAGGGCAATGTTGGAACTACTATGATAAATTAGAAGTAGACAAAAATGAAAACAAAAAAAAAATCCTGTACATAGATGAGATTAATGGTTTTTAATGCATTTTTAAGTTCACAATAATGAAAAAGAAATTTTAACTAAAAGAAAGAAAAATTATGGATATGATTAAAAAAAAACATGGGAAGACATATGAATTAGTACAGTGAAGTAAGCCAAACAAGGAGCACATTCTACACAAGGACCTCAATTATATCAAGAAAAACAAGACTGCAAGACTTCAGAACTCGGATGGGTGCTGTAATCCAATAATGAAGCATCCTCCTGCTTATTTTATTGGCTATGCTTATTTACCAGGAAGAGTTCTCTTAGGTGGGATGAGGGGAATCATTAGGACATGATAGCCATGTTAAATGTGTTTTGAATCATTAAAACATTTTGAAGGGAGATTGGTAACTCTGGTTACAGTAGAGGGAAGAAGTCTTCAGAAACGAGATTGCAAAGCTCTGGGGCAGGTTGGTGGAGAGGAAGGGGAGACATTGAACATAAGCAACTCTATAAAAGCTGAGCAGTTAAAAAGAGAAGAGATAAAAGAGAGAGAGAGAGAGAGAGAGAGAGAGAAGAGATGTAACAATAATTGACTGGCAGAGTCAAATGAAGGTTTTTCCTGCGTAGGAATCAGGAAACTTGGTACTGACACTGCTTGTAGCCATTTGGTGTTGAATATGGCATGTCCCAAGTCCCTTCTGTTGGCTTCCTTTTCCCCATCCCTGATATGATGGGGTCAGCTCTAAAATTCTTAAGGTCTGAGGTCATTTAGCCCAGCTTCCCAACTAGTACAAAAATCTTGTCTACAATATGTGTGAAATAGAAATCAGTCTTGACTTGAATACTCAGTGATGGAAAGCTCAGGGCTTCAAGAAGCAGACAATTCCCTTGTTGAGTTTACTTTGATTGCAGCATTGACCCCAAATCCCTACAACAATCACCCATTAAGTCTAGTTAGGCTCTCAGGAGCAATAGTAAACAAATTCATTCCCTTCATATCTTCTACAAATTTGAAGATGGTGATCCTAACTGTTCTACATTCCCCCTTCTCCTTCAACCAATAATTCTGTTCTCCACAGCAAATACATTCCAGGTTCCTTCAGCCCTTCTTCATATATGATATGATTTCAAGTCCCCTCATGATCCTGGTTGTCCTCCTCTGGGTGGGCATTAATTGGTCAATTCTTTCAAAATGCAGGTTTCTGTTAATTTTTTTTTAATCTATTGCACATTAAGCTCCTGTTGTATCAGTCTTGATAAAGTGTGACTAGGGCAAGTGGTAAAAGGTCAAGTCCTCCAATGGACTACTCAAGATAGAAGGGGAAAGCAAGTAAGGCTTCTAATACTTAGGTGGACCTCGGTGGAAAATTTGTGAGATAATGTGGTTAAGACTCACAGGATGGGCAAGCATGGATGGGTTTCAATCTGCATTGCTGGAGGGAACTCCAGAAGATTGAAACTGCAGATCCCTTTGAGTATCAACTTTGGAAATAGATTAATGCTACTTTGAAGTATGTTTGTGTGCACATGCCAGTAATAAGGAAGCTAGGTGCAATGAATAGACCACTGGAACTGGAATCAGGAAGACTTGAATTCAGCTTAATATACTAGTTTTGTGACCCTTGAAAAATCACTTAACCTTTGTCTGCCTCGGTTTCCTCATCTGTAAAATGGGGATAATACTAGCACCTACCTCCCAGGATTGTTGTGAAGATCAAATGAGATAATATTTGTAAAATGCTTATCATGGTGCCTGGCATACAGTAGGTGCTTAATAAATACTTGTTTCCTTCCATATATATGTATGTGTGCATGCATATTTGTGCCTATGTATATGTACACACGCACACACATTTTTTCTTAGTTTTCTCTCACCCTTTATTTCCCCTTTCTCACATTTATCTTGGTCTTAAGCAAACTAATACTTTCATTCACTCTGGTCACAAATCCCTCTGCATACATTATCTCATTTGATACTCACATCAGTCCCGAGAAGTTAGATATCCCAGGCATTACTACCCCCATTTTACAAATATGGAAACTGGAACCCAAAGAGCTTGTGCCTTTCCCCTGGCCGGCCATACAACTAGCATTCCGTCACTGGTGGACAGGACGGGCTGTTTTCCCATTTTCCAACAGCGATCTGAACCGACAGAATCCTGGCTATTTCTTCCCCTATCAGACACTTTGAAGCTGACGTCATAATTTACCACTTAGGCCCCGCCCCACCAAAGAATCCCTCCCTTAGACCCCCAGATCCCCCGCCCCCTCCAGCTTGTGTTTGCTCCTCACTTGCGTTGCCAAGTTAAACAAGAGAGGGTTGGTTCTCATTGGCTTTCGGGGGAGAGTCGTTGCCTAGCTACTCGCGGGGCGTGCTTAACACCCGCGGGGTGGCTTAAGTGCCCGAAGAGAATAGTTTTGGACGAAGAAGAGGTAAGAACCCTAAGAAGTTAGTGAGGAGAAGGGCAGGGAGTGGAAAACTCAGACCTGGGGCACCCTTTCACCCACAGGGAATCTCCCCTTGTCACTAGAGCGCCAGCTGGGCTCCCACTTTGTCCTCATTCTACCAAGCCTGACCACGCCCCTCCATCCTCTCCTGGAAGGCAAGGAAGACTGGGCAGCCCTCCAAGATTGAGGCGCTGAGTGAGGCCCTGCTCAGGAGCTTTCAACCAGACTGAGATCCCCAGGGCTTCATCTTACTTACACTTCCCTAGTCTCCCACATAACCTCCAGCCCAGAGCTTTATGTAGGGTTTGAAGGGAGGAGACTTGACTGAGACAATGAAAACTGGCTGATTGAGACTGGCGGCACTTGGGGTAGTGGGATGAGGTGATACTAACGTTCTTGTCCACCAGGCCATCTTCTGCCAATACATGGTGGCTCCCCGAATCAGCTCAGCTCAGCTCAGCTCAACTAGGTGTATTCAACACCATCAGCTAACTACACCTAGTTCAGATCCTTTCTTAGGGGCATGCTGATTATTTGATAGTGCTGGGACTTGGAAAAAAAAGGGGACTTGCCCCCTTTTTCCTTCTCTGTACATAGGTGCATAGACACTGTAAAAAGAGAAGCAAGCTTACCAGAGAAAAGCTTACCTTTTAAGTTCGTTCTGGAAGGGGAGAAGGGTAGATGGGCAGGGAGGAAAATAACTGGCAGTGAATGGGGAGTGGAAAGGGAAAAGAAGCTGTTAGATGGTTTTATCTAGGCTGACTTTTTTTTCTGTCCAGCAGATAGTGGGCTTGAGGCATCCAGAGTCACGGTGTGAGTGCCCCTGCCAGCCTTGAGCCATGGCCACACTGAGTATCAAGCCTGGCCAGCGTTTCCGGCTCCCTGATTGGCACATTAACAGCTACTTGCTTTCCTCTAATGCTGAGCGGCAGAGGGATGCCTCACACCAGATCAGACAAGAGGGCCGCGTCCTCCGTAATGAGACCAACAACCAGGTAAGGAGAAAGAATCACAGGAAACGAAGGCAGGGACACACACCCTCTTCATTCCTTGTCCTTTCAATCCTGAACTGCCAACAACTCCCCTGGCTGTAATGGTGCTTCAAGCTTTCCAAAGTACTTACCTTCCCACAGCTACGCTGCAAGGTGAATTACTCAATTAACCACATCTTACTGATGCAGAAACAGACTCAGAGAGCTTAGGTATTTTGCCCAATGTCACACAGCTTTTAAGTGTCAGAGTCTAGTCTTTTTTCTGCTATATCACGCTCCCTCTCACATAACTCTTCTCTCTTCCAGACCATATGGGATGAACATGACAACCGGACCCGCCTATCAGAGCGCATAGATTCTGTTGACCAATGGAAGGAGATACTAGACAAATGTCTGACTGACATAGATGCTGAGATCGATGCCATGACACAGGCAAGGGAGCTAAAGGCAGGGTGTAAAGTTGGGTACTAGGGCATCCCGGGACAGCATCCCTCTTGGGCAGGGAGGTATTGCTGGCCTCAGCTGGCATTTCACCCTGGACATCCACTCTAGTACCAAGAGGTTTGACAGGGCAGCAATCCAACCTGGGAGAATCCTTTTGGACTTCTCTCCCCCTGTCCCTTACCCCTAGATGAAGGAGGCAGCAGAGAGGGCCCTGCAGGCCAAGAACCTCGCTCTGGATGTGGCGATTGAGTGCCTAACGCTGCGGGAGAGCCGGCGGGACGCTGATGTGGTGAAGGATTCTGCAGAGGATGAGCTGCACAAAGAAGTGGAGGTGATTGATTGTGCCAGGGAGGCCCTGCAGCAGAAGATCAGGGATATCTTTGAGCAGCTTTGGTAAGGACTGGAGGGAAAATGGTACCCGTGCTCATAAGCAAACGGGCATAAGTCAGCCGGGCTTTGCCTGTGCATTCTTTCTTTTACGCACACACATACATGTGTTTTACATGGGTGTGCATACGCTCAACGTCTGCCCATGGTATGTTAGATATGCTTGCATATGCATGCCCCATATGAGATACGTGTACAAGCATGCTTGCTAACATGCCCACTGATGTGCAGCATATATTAAAGTGTCAATGTTCTTGTGGCCACACATCATAAATTAGAGGCATTCATTCCTGGAGTATTTATTGAACACATATGGAATATCATGCTTCTGGTTGGGAGGGATTGTGAACGATCTGGAATTATCTGAAAAAATAGGGGGTGATTTATGACCTGCTTCCTAGAGGAGCTTGGAGGTAGATGGTACACACTGGTCTTTCCTACATGTGGAGCTCAGTGGTGATAGTGGTCATATCCCCTCTCAGAATTCAGTTCACCTCTGTGCACAAAGTGACTGCCAGATGCAAGACACTGCATTAAATGCCAGGGATACAAAGAGAAGAAATGACCCGTTTCTGCCTTCAATGAGCTAACATTTTACTCAGGGTGGTATGTGGATAATCCATCTACAAATGAAGGGGATACAAAATAAAGTGTGACCAGGTCAAAGGAGAGATCCAGGCAACATTTTCTAAGAAAATCTGAAGCAACACAGAACACCTGTAGTGGGCATATGTGTATAAGAGAGAAAGCTTCCTGGAGGTGACGGGCCTCTGAGCCTCAGCTTGCCTTCTAGGGAGATCATAGAGATTTTGGAAGGTGAGGCAGACTGGTGCATTTCAGGCCAGGGGGCAACCTGGGCAAATTCAGAGAGGTGGGAGATGAGATGCTAGGTTTGGGGAAAAGCTAGAATTCCAGTTCAGCTGCAGCACAGAATGTGTGGTGAGTCAAAGGCAAATGAGATTAAAAAAAAGTGAATTTGGAGCCAGATTGTGGAGGTCCTCCAATGCTAAGAAATGTATATTTTTTCCTAGAACCAATAAGAAGATCACTGAAGGTTTTTTAAAGAAGAGAGTGGGCTTAGATTCTTAAAATCTTGCCACTGCTCAGATTCTTAGAATCTAGCCAATACTCAGACTCTCAGATTCCTCAAGGGTCTGGCTAATATGGGGCAGCTAGGTGGCGCAGTGCATAGAACCCTGGCCCTGAAGTCAGGAGTTTAAGTTTGAGTTTAAATCTGAGTTTAAATCTGGTCTCAGACCAAACACTTGACACTTACTAGCTGTGTGACCCTGGGCAAGTCACTTAACCCCAACTGCAAAAAAAAAGAGAGAGTGACATGATGGGACCTATGCCTTAGGAAGATTATTTTGGCAACCATGTGAAGGATTGGTTGGTGAGGGAAGAACCTGGAGGCAGGGAGACCAGTTTAGAAAGCTAGACAAAGTGAGAAGTGATGAGGACCCTCAATTAGAATGGTGCGTGGAAGAAATGAGTTAAGAGATAGAGTGGAGACTGAACTGACAAGACTTGGTAACTGATTAGATGGAGGCGGGGTAGTACAAGGGAAGGGTAAGGAAAAACAGGGAGTCAAAGATGATTCCAAAGGTTTGGGTCCAGGAATCTAAGTTCCATCAACCAAACCAGGGAAGTTGAGATGAGGAAAAGGTTTGGAGGGATGGGGGAGATGTTGCTGTTGAGTTCACTTTTGGACATGTTGAGTTGGAGGTCCCAGCAGGATATGCACATAAAGATACTCGGTAAGGAGTTGGAAATGCAGGACTCTGGAGTACAAGGGAGATATTGTGGCTAGAAATAGGGAGGTTTGGGAATCATCTGTGTCACAGAATTCAACCTTTAGGTATGGATGAGATGACCATAGGATAATGTGTAGTCTGAGAAGAGAAGAGGTTCCAATACAGAGTCATGAGGGATGACTCAGGCTTAGTCAGGGTGGGGGTGTAGTGGCAAGAAAGAGATGATGAGCTAGAAAAGTGGACTAAGAAGGCTTGGCCCAACAGGTAGGAGAACGTGTATAAAGCAGTGTTATTTAGAGCAATGTCTTCAATACCAAAAGGAGGAGTGTTGGGGGTGGGGGGAGAGAGAGGAGTAATCAGTGATAACAGCTGTTGATCTGAGGTTCACAAAGAACTTTGCTTACATTATAATCTCATCTGAACCTCCTAACAATTCTGTAAAGCACAGGAACTACAGGCATAATTTATTCACAACAGATGAGGTTTAGAGGTTTAGAAAGACTCTATGGTCACACAGCTGGTCTCAGAGGCATGATTCAAACCTGAGACCACCTGACTCCAACACCCTAATCTCTATACCACACTACCTCAGCAGTGTCAGCACTGTTCAGGGGGGTCAAGAAGGATGAGAATTAATAAAGGACATCAGATTTATCAATTGAGAGATTACTGAGACAGAGATATTGTTGGTATCCTTTGAGAGAGTACTTTCAGTATAAAGGGTGGGAATAGAAGCCAATGTGAAAAGGTTGGAGGAGTCGGGAAAGGGAGTGCTAAGGAAATGGAGACAAATGTAGATGACTCTCTCTAGGAATTGGGCAACCGCAAAGTCAAACCACTCAGAAAATGTCGTGTGATTCCCTCTAGACTTAGACCTTTAAAAAGTCACCATTAATTGTCTTCCCTGATGCACCTAAATTCTCCCCCTACCTTGATAAACTGCTATTGTTGGATTCTGCCAAAGGATCACATAGAATCCCAGACCCTCAGAGCCAGAAGAGAGCACAGAGGCCAGCTAGTACAAGGCCACCCCTGGTCAAGAATCCCTGAGAGGCCACTGCCTTCAGCCCTGGCATATTCCACTATTTCCTTTTTGAATAGTTCTATTAGCAATCAGTTTTTCTTCCCATTAGGCTTACTTTACAACTTCCATTCACTGCTTCAAGTTCTGCCCTTGGGGCCAATCTGTCTTCTATATATCAGGCCTTGAAATGCTTAAAGATGGTTGTCCTACTCATCTTCGCCCAAATTCTCTCCACCATGCTTTCCAAGCTCTGCCCCCTCCTTGCTTCCTGGATCGCCTCACATCTAATCATTTACAATTCTATTCTGCCCAGTCCCTTTTCCCTGTCCTTTCACAGCCATATGCCAGCCATGGGTCTCATCCCACCAAGTCTCAGTGCTACCTCCAAGGTCAAATCTATGTTCCTTGTATTAGAATCTCTAGTTGCTTGTTACCTATACTTCGTGCAGTCACATATGGACATTGGCTCACCCAGGAACAAGCCTTGACACCTTTTTATATTCCCCTCAAATCTCAGTGTTAAATAAATGTCAATCAACTTAGGGTTGGACAATGGCATCACACTATCTGACCATCATAGACTGTGTCCTGGAGCAATTCTTTTCCTTTTTTTGATCCCATCTTCCTCATACATAAATGAAGGATCTCCAAGATCCCTTCCATCCCTGACATTCTATATTCTTTTGTATGTGTGTGTTGCAAGCTCTCTAAGGGCAAGGAATATGTTTTTCATTTGTATCCTCAGTGCTTAGGACAATGTCTGGTTTACATTCATTCATTACTTCAATCCACAGATAATAAGCTGGTACCATAGGCTTGTAAGAGGAAGAGATCAGACAGGATTGCCTCTTGGGAATTCTGGTATTTCAATGATTCCAAACTGTCTGCTAACATGGAAACCTATTCTAATGCCGCCATATGACTGGGAATCATGTAGTACAATAATTTCAAAATAACTAAAATTAAAGCCAGTATAAAGGCATGTGGTTGACATAAGGAGACTATGGTATGTTACCAATAACTATATAAATACGATTTATTATTTTAATTATATGAATTTAAAATAACTATCAAATGCATAAAATATCTGAGTCAAACTGCAAGCACAATCAAGACATATAAATAAAATCACAAAATTGTCATTACAAAAGTAAAAAATACTTAATTGTTAAGGTATTCATTGTCTTGGTGGGGTCATGCCTATATGATTAAAATTACCATTCTACTTCTTACAGTAATTTATAAATATAATATACCAATCAAACTGCCAAAAGCTAATTTTAATGAGCTATACAAAATAATAACACAATTCATTTAAAGGAACAAAAGGTCTAGAATCTCAAGGGAACTAATGAAAAAATGTTGGCACAGAGAGGGAAAAGGATCTCTAGACTTCAAAATATATTTTTAAGACTAGTAAAGTTATTTAGTAATGATTTTTTATTAATTAATTTTTAGTTTTCAACATTCACTTCCATAAGATTTTGAGTTCCAAATTTTCTCCCCATCTCTCCCCTCCCCCTGATATTCTATATTCTATAACTGACAATTTATGTCATTACCAAATCTCATTCTAGATGGCCTAATTAGGATATGACTGCACAGGACTTCCTCATCTCGATCCACTCTTTCTTCAGACAACTTAGCTAAGCATACAGTACATTGGGGCAATGCTGAAATGAAGTTTCGTTTGCCTCCATATTACTTATCACCCACTGCCTTCCAGACTGTTGCCTCCACCCGCTCAAACTAAGCTTTCTCTGGAACCTACATTTTCATAGAGCCCCTTTCACTCTGGGCCCATTACTGATCGATTCCCAACCTTTGACACCTTCCCTTCCTAACCTGAGCGGCTAGGTGGCACAGTTGATAGAACACTGTGCTTGGAATCAGGAACTCTTCTTCATGAGTTCAAATCTGGCCTTAGACATTTACTAGCTGTGTGACTCTGGGCAAGTCACTTAACCCTGTTTGCCTCAGTTCCTCATCTGTCAAATGAGCTGGAGAAGGAAATGGCAAACCACTCCAGTATCTTTGGCAAGAAAACCCCAAATGGGGTCATGGAGAGTTGGACACAACTGAACAACAAATTTCTAGCCTGACCTATGAGGCACCTCAACACTTGCCTACTTTGCAGGGCTGCTGTGAGGATAAAGTAAGATAACACATGGGAAAATGCCATGAAAACTGGCATTCAGTCAGAGCATGTGAATCTTAATCTCAAGGTCACGGAATCAAAATTACCCATTGTAGTGTTGGTACCTCTAATACCAGGCAGACTAATGCTGCAGAAAAAGCCAGGGCTGGGAGTCAGGAGACCTGGGTTCTAGTTGTGATTCCACTGTATGATGCTGGGGGCAAATCACTCTCACTTTCTGGACTCTGGTTTCCTCCTCTGGACAATGAGGGAGATTATAGATTTGTAGAATGCCAGAGGTAGAAGAAATCTTACAGATCCAGTATAACTCTTCCCTCCCACCCCCACCTCATCTTTAGAAGGAGGAAAACTGATGCTCAAAGAGGAGACGGCCTCACCCAAGGCAGTGGTAGAACCAGGTCTAGAACCCAGACCTCTTAGCTCCAAAGTTGGAGGTCTTTGTGCTGCCCACACAGCCTCAGATTGGAGTTATTCTTTGGCGGATGTGGTGTCTAGCAGATAGGAAGCTCAGGGCTTTGAAGCTGGTATTAGGATATCTGGGTATCTCATTACCCTACAATGAATGAGAGGTAAAGGCCAGGGAAGAGGCTCTCTTCCTCACTCAGCTTCCACCTGAGAGAGACCTGTCCTAACCAGGCCCTAGCCTGGGCTGAAGACTATATCTATCTGTCCAGGGAAGGGCTTTTCTAGGCTGGTTAGTAACTATGGAAGACACCTGAGCCGTTACGTCCTTGCCCTCCACAGTCTTCTTCAAGAGGCAAGGCAGCACCTGAACTCTGACCATCGAGGCAAGATGGAAGCACTTGAGATTGACCGTGTCTGCCTCTCACTCAACGTTCACTCTCCCAACATCTCCCTGAAGGTCAACCCTACCCGCATTCCCAGTGGGTAAGTCTGGGCCTTTGGTCCTGACACTCCTCCTTCCCTTGTCTTCTCTGTCTTCCTCCTTGGCTGTGGACCCTCCCTACCCATGGGGCCTGACCCAACGACTCATTCACCCATCCTCTCCACCAGACAGCCCTTATAGGATTCACATCTGATCCTTGTTCAATGCATGTGTGGCCTGTGTCTGACTCCTTTGGGGCCCATGCCTAACCCTTGTGGGGCTGGCCTGTGCCCTTCTGGCTGCCCCAGCTCCTGCACGATACAGCAGTGGGATGAGTACAGTCACTACAACAAGGACCAAGCAGAGGCGGAGAGGAAGGCTTCTGCAGATCTGCGTGAAGCTACAGCCCTCACCATTGCTGAGGTGAGCCCAGCCCCCCAGGCTCCCTCCCTGCTCAGGGAGCTAGTCACCATCCTTGCCAAACATAAAGAAACTCATCTGTCTATGTAGAGACATACATATGCCCATCTTCCCTTCCCCCTTGATGGACCATCTCTTTAGCAGGATATCACCTTCTCCCCTGATTCCTGTCATATTCCCACACCCCATTCACACTTCATTATTTCCCTGGCCTTGTTCTCACCTCCTTTATCCCCTGACCCTTAACCCCAGACCAACAATGAATTGGAAGCCCAGCGTGTGGCCACTGAGTTTGCCTTCAGAAAGAGGATTCGAGAACTAGAGAGGGCCCTGAATGAACTCAGGTGGCAGGAGAAAAATGTAAGGAGTCCACTGGCCTCCAGGGCCTCCTGAGGGAGCTGGGGGGGGGGGGGGGGGAAGATGGTGGGCAAGGACTCAAATCGATGTGGAGGGGGTTGTTAGTCAGCAGAGTGGAGTGGGCAGGAAAGCCTGTCCCCCCCACCCTCTGGCCTCTTCCCTAAGACCTTGGAAGAAATCGCAGAGCTGGAGGAGGACATCCGACGGCTGGAGGAAGATCTACGAGTAAAGATGAGGAATCTGAAGTTAGCACACACCCGGCTAGAAACCCGAACATACAGGCCCAATATGGAGATGTGCAGGGACCAGGTGTGTGCGTGCGTTTGCATATGTCTGTGTCTACCCAGGGGTAACGGAGTTCCTCAGCTAGATCCCCAAGCCAGTGACAGAGAAGTCCTGAAGAAATGCAGATCTAGAAGGGGGGGGGGGAAGTAACCTAGGCAGGGACAAACAGTAACAGAGCATCTCAGAAGAATCTCAGGATCCTTCCCTCTCAGCTCCATAGAGATGAGCTCTGTGGGAGGTCTGCAGGAGGGCAATTCCCCTGATCCCCATCCCCATCTTAACCAGGTACAATATGGGCTCACTGATGAAGTACACCAGCTGGAAGCTACCATCACCGCCCTGAAGCAGAAACTGGCCCAGTCACAGTAGGTTTGGGGCCCCAGAAGCCACCCCATGGGCTGACATGGGCCCTGACCAAAGATATCCAAGCCTCCAGGTCATAGGATTTGTTCATTCAACAAACATGAAGTACCTATTGTGCATGCAAAGAACTGCATACTTGGAGCTGAGGGAGATAAAATGATTAGACAAGACACCTTTCCCATCTGGAGCTCCCAAGACATACAAAGTGAACCACAGATACATGATATGAAATGATCAGTGCGTGGGAGGAGTACAGACAGAATGCTATGTGAAGTCCTAGGGGAAATGTTCTTATGGAGCCTGGGGATCAAGAAAGGCTTCCTGGAGGAGATGGCATGTGAATTAGGCTTTAAAGGAGGTGGGGAGGGTTTGAAACAGGAAGGGGAAAGGATGTTCCAAGTACAGGAGGCCAGATGAGCAAAAGCACAGAAGTGGAAGAATACAAAGCACATTTCCTGGGCAAAGAGTGGGGCAATATTTGGGAGTACGAGGGCATCCCCAAGGATCATCGTCTAACTCCCTCATTTTATGGGTCAGGAAACTGAGGTCCAGGGAGGGTAAGGGACTTTCCCAGACATACAATGAGCTAATGCCAGAGCTAGACAAGAAGAGTCTTGGGTCCAGGGCCAGGGCTCGTGGGGCCTTGGCTACTTTCTGTCTTTGCTGTGGCTAAGTGCATGGTAATTCAGCCATGCTGAGGTTCAGGCCCCTTTCCCCTTCCTCATTTTGTGGGACTTTGCCTGGGCCACAAGGAGACAGGGCAGGAGCAGCCTGGCCCTAAGTGTTCCTCAACGCCCCCAGGGATGCCCTAGATGCCCTTTACAAGCACCTGGCCCGGATCCAGGCTGACATCGCCTGCAAGTCCAACTCTTTGCTGCTGGACAACAAATGCATGGACACCCGACACAAGCTGACGGTACCAGCTGAGAAGTTCGTGCCAGAGGTGGATACCTTTAACCGGACCACCAACCGCACTCTGCCCCACCTCAAGGGCCAGCAGCTAGAGCTGGTGTAGTGGCTCCACAGGGGAAATGGGAATGTGACCGGGAACGGGAGAGTCTAAGTCCAATAAAGCACCAGGTATAATGATGATGGTGATATCAGTAATCATGGTGGCTTGACATTTGTGGGGGCTTGGGGAAAGGCCTTGCCTAGAGTCAAGAGCAAATAGCAGTCTCAAAATGACCGCATTTCAGAGTTGGGAGGGATCTAAGAGTGATCTAGTCTAACCTGACCCTCTACTGCAACATCACTGACATCTTAGACCAGGAGTGGGGAACCTGCGGCCTTGAGGCCACATTTGACCACTTAAGTGAAGTTTGGATTCAGTCAAAGGGCCGAATTTGAGGACCTAAAGGCCTCGAGGCCGCAGGTTCCCCATCCCTGTTTTAGACCCTCTGAACACTTTCAGCAAGGGAAAATTTACAATTTTCTGAGAAGGCCCAGTTCACCTGGGGACAGCTGCAATGGGTAGGAAGCTCTTCCTTACATCAAATCTAAACTTGCCTCTCTACTTTCAGTTCCCTGCTCCTAATTCTGCTCACTGGGGCCAAGCAGACCAAGGCTAACCTTACTTCCATATGACAGCCCTTCCAATATGCGAAGGTAGTGATTGATCACCTCCCTCAGAGGTCTTTTTCACTCCAGGCTAAACACCCCCAGATCCTATATAATAGCAGACTCCAGTATTCTCACTGTCTTCATCTTTGTCTTCTGGACATCAATGTCTTTTCTAACATAGAGTGCCCAGAATGGCAAACAGTTGTTCAAATGTAGTCTGACCAAGGTAGAGAATAGCAAAGCTATCACATATCTCATTCTAGACACATAATACAATATAGAGTAGCTTGTAGTACCCGAAAAATCCCCAGATCTTATTCACACAAGCCACATCTCCCCCATCCTGTACGCGTTCTGTTTTTAAACCAAGTGTAGAACTTTGTCTCTATTTGGTTTCATCTTAATTGCTTTGGCTCATTATTCTAGCCTATCCAGATATTTTTGGATCCTGATGCTGTCATTCACCAACTTGCTATCCCTTCCAACACTGTCCTCTCTAGACTTAATAAGACTGCTTTAGATGGCTTTATCCAAATCACTATACAAATATTAAGCAGCCTAGGCCCAAGGACAGATTGTTAGGGTACTCCACTACAGTCCCCCCCCCCCAAGAAGACATCAAGCCATTGATGATTGTTAATTTGGTCTGGTCTTTCAACTAGTCTCCAGTCTACCTCAGCAACCTATTATTCAGCCCACATCTCTCACCGTGTCCAGTTTTACAAATGTTTATGAAATGCCTACTGGATGGAAGACCTCTTCATCTGACACTTTTCCCATCTGGTGGCACTCATGGAAACCTAGCTTCCTCTGGAAGACATTGCATCTGTGGCTCCCCTCTCCGGTACTAGATACTCCTTCCTCAGTGCTCCCCCAACAGAGGAGGCTAGAGGGAGGCGTAGGCATACTCCTCTGCTCTTCACTGTCACTCCCAGACTATCACTTTGCCACCATAAGCAACCTCTCCTTTGAGATTTATTTCCCCTATGTCACCTGGCCAGATCCTTGTCACAGTCATTTATCTTGCACATAGTAGGTGCTTAGTGAAAGCTGCATGGAATTGCCAGGCATCATATTCAGCACTGTAGAAAGATGAAAAGGGAAAAAGGTCTGCCTACAAGGAGCAGGGCATTACTATGATGTGTGTTAATAAATATGAAGTGACTTGAGTTGGGAGAGCTCTAATTTCTCTTAGGTATTTGGAATGCTTCTGGCCCAGAGACTTGCCTCAGAAGAGGTCCATTAATAGATATGATGCATTGGGTTTCTGGGCTTCCAAAGAAATTTAGTTGCTGCCTCCAAGCAGCCCTGAATGTGGAAGCAGCATGGTATAATGGAAAGAAGACTAGATTTGGAGTCAGAGGGCCTGGGTTTGAATCCCAACTCTACTACTTACTATATACTGTGTGACCTTGAACAAATCACTTACTTTCTCTGGGCCTCAGTTTCCTCATTGGTAAGATGAACAAGTTAATGTCTAGTTCTGTGAGCTGATGAAAACCAGTTTCAACTTATATGGCCCCAGCCCCAGGGACACATGTAGGCTAAGTCTTAATCAATACAGATAGCAGGCATAATGCCTTTCCCCAGATGCCTGCTTGCTGTGGTAGAGGTAGAATTATTTCCTGAGTCTCTGCCCTTCGTTTTTCATCCCTTATTAGGCAATTCTAAGAATATCCTGATTTCAGTGGTCTGAACTGGCCCACTACCTTGCCTCACAGGTGATACAAACTGTCGAAAACCCTAGATGTTTGAGGGGCCTTGGATCAAGGTACTCATCTTACTGCACACCTGAGCAGTGCACCGATCTACCCATGGAGCTGGGAATGGCGGGAGCACCCGCTTATGTTCTTCCCCATAGGCATCTGCTCTAGTGCCTTTGTTGCCATCTCGGTATGGCAATGTCTCTCTTGAATAATAGCTCCCTCCCCCTTTTCCCTGCAAGTGCCTTCATTTCCAGTTTGAAACTCAGTGAACTACTTATTCCTGGTGGGATCAGGAATATCTGTGTATGGGAGGTGGTAGTGCCTGAATAGAACCTTGAAGCTAAGGAATGCAAGAGGAAGAGGCTAGGGCTGCATTTTAGACTCTGGGAACAGCTTGTCTGAAGGCCCAAAGGACAGCATAAAACTCTGTCAAGTGCTTTCCTGAAATGTTCTATCTATAACATTAATCAGGGAGAGGCCTACCAGGTCTGAAGGGGCCCAAGAGAAATTTCTCTTCTTAAGTTTCACTCAGGAGAGATTCATGCCTTCAGGAAACCATCATTTGGGAAACAAGCAAACATTTATTCAAATTCAACATTTATAAGGCACCTACTGTGCACACAATACTTCAATGACAGCTGCCTCTGCATGATATGAAGGTAATTCTGACAAAACTGAAAGGTCCCACTAAGCTGGAAAGAGTTTGAGTACAGGCCTATTGTTGCTATTGTATGGGTATCATACAAGGACTAAGGTTCAGCCTAGATGAATGTGGAAAAAGCTCATCATCAAATGCTTACTTTGGGCAAGGCTTTTCTCCCTTTCCAGGCCTCAATTTCCTTAGCTGGAAAATCTGGGAATTGAACCAAATTATAAGCTCTAGAGCTAGAAAGGCCCTTCGAAGTCATCTAGTTCAACTTCCTTATTTTACTGATGAGGAAACTGAGGTCCAAAGAGACTAAATGACTAATTTCTAAGGACTCTTCCACTGCTGAAATTCTACAATTTTGGCCATGAATGGATGAGTTTCTTAAACATAACTTAAGAAACCACCTACTAAAAGTACAGAGGTAAGACTGGGATCTGTGCAGGTAAATATACTACAGATCTCTGAAGTATTAAAACTATGCTTGCAGTGCCCTGGGTCAAGTAGGGCCACAAGCAGAAATGAAGATGTTTAAAGCTTTGTCCCCATCCTCAGGAAATTCTGAGCCCATCACAGAAAATCAGTAGTTAAGGGAGCTTAGTTGGAAAGAGAAACTAGAAGAATCACAGAATGTCCACAGTTAGGAGGAGCTTTAGTTGGCCTCTAATTCAGACCTTTTTTGGTGTGATTGATCACTTAGGCCATGGCCTAAGGATCCCTTCTGAAAATCATATTTTTATAAAATTGAAGCGAATGCTAAATTTCAGTTAGAAGTTAGTGAAAATAAAGATGTCATTTTTCCCCCATCCAAGCTCATGGACTTCCTGAAATCTGTCTTAACCACAGGTTAAGAACCCCTACTCCAGTCCTATTCTCTTTGGTTAAGGCTGCAAGAAGTGACTTCTGCCCTTTGAAGCTCCCTTCCCCAACTCCCACTAAGAGGTAGAGCTAAGATTAGAACTCAGATCAGTTTGACTCCAAATCCTGGATTCCTTATACCACACTTGACTGGGATTTGAATTCTCTTCTGCTGCTTACTTGGAAAGGCCCCTTGCTCTAAGCTTCACTTTCTCCATCTGTAAAATAAAGAGGGTGGGGTGAGATGCCTAGATTGGATACCTCTAAGGTTCTTGCTAGGAGGCAGCCACATGCCATAATGGGTAGAGGGCTGGCCTTAATAACAGTTATTAACAATGTAACTGTTAATAAATGTAGGTTAATTACTTCATTTGATCCTCATGGGAAATTCATGAGATCGGAGATATTATCCTCATTTTACAGATGAGGAAACTGAAGCTCAGGGTGAAAAGCCTTGCCCAGGGTTAAATGCTAAGTGCCTGAGGCAGGATTCGACCTCGTGTTCTCATTCCAAGTCCAAGGCACTTACCGACTACACTAGTATACCTTGGTTCAAGTCTTAACCATGACAAGGTTCCTTTTACGTTGTTGTGGCCATCGTATTGATGGTTTTCCTGGCTCCGACGACTTCATTCGGCATCACTTCATCTAAGTCCTCTCCAGGCTTCTTTGTATTCATCACCTTCCTCGTTTGTACACAGCTCCATCAAATAACTAGCATTTATAAAGCGCTTTAAGGTCTGCAGAGCGCTTTAGAAACATCACCTCGTGTTCTATGACGGTCCTAGCCCTTCCCCTGTGGACCGACAATTGTCTCGGGCTCCTCCGAAGCCGCCGCCTGGCTGCGTCAGCCTGGGCGAATGACCCGAGCGAGGCTACGAAGCACGGAGGGCTTGCAGCCGAGCCAGACCAAGAAGGGTCTCTCCCAGCCCGTCCATTCTAAAGGCCAGAGAAGTTCGAGCTGTCGGGATGAAAGCGTGTGAAAGGAGAACGGGTGGGAGCAAATGCCCAGGAGGGGCGGGGCCTCACGAGGGAGAGCCGGGGTCGGAGCGGAGGAAGGGGCGGGGCAAAGGAGGGGGGGCCTATGCCCTATATGGGGGTGGGACCTTGCAGGGCAGAGGCGGGGCCTGCTCGGGGGAAAGGAGTGGGGCCTCCTAGACCCCAGTATGGGGAGTAGGGCCTTCCAGGGCAGAGTCGGGCTCTTGCTGGGCAGGGGCGGGGCCTTCGCAGGGCCACGGCTTCTTGGGTAGCTCGGCCCGACGCTTTTCTGCCGGGCGGGGGGGTGAGGGCGGTGGAGGGAGGTGGGCGTGCCGGCGCCCCCGGAAGTGGCGGTAGATTGTGGCGGTTGATGGCGGCTGCGATGGCGGCCGGGGCGGGCGGCGCGGCGGTCGGGGCGGCGCGTTCTCTATCGCGGTTCCGGGGCTGCCTGGCCGGGGCGCTCCTCGGGGATTGTTTGGGGGCTATCTACGAGGCGTACGAGAACGTTACCATGGCGTCACTGCTGAGTCACGTGGGCAGCCTGGAGCCCGAGCCTGGAGCTAAGGGAAGCGCGCGCACAGGTGGGAGGAGCGCGCGCACACAGGTGGAGGAGAGGCGAGGGGCGCGTGCGCCGGGGGGGCGGGGCCTAGACAGGCATAAAGAGGATAGGCTTGGAGGGTCAGTTCAGGAGCTCGCGGGGCGGGGCGGGGCGGGGCGGGCCGGGCCGGGCCTACCCTGGCCTACCCTGGCCGGACCTGGCCGGACCTGGTGTACCCTACCCGTTCTGTGCGGAACCTGCTCTCCTTTCGGTTTCCCCTGGAGCTGAGACAGCCCTCAACTAGGAATCAGAAAGTCTAGGTTTTGTTGAAGCTGGAAAAGCACTTCAGAAACCATGGAGACCCCCCTCCCAGGAGTCAGGCCCGAAACCCGCCTTGGCTTGAAGACCTTCAGTGCCGTGGAGCCCGCTCCTTCCCAAGGCAGCCCTCTGCCCCTTTTGGATCTCTCTGACTGCTATCCGCCCTAAATCTGCCTCCTTGTAACCTTCCCCCACTACTCACAGCCCTTTTATCAGAGACCAGCCCTTCCCATGGCCGCCTTTCCTCAACTGGAAGAGAGTTGCCATGCGTCCTCTAAGTCGCCTCTTAGTCATTCTCAAAATTACCATTTCCTTCAGCCGCACCTCATATGCTAGAACTGGAGACCATGGAGGTTGCTTTGATTTAGACCCATTCTACCTCATCACAGACTTATCGCCTAAAACATATCCAAAACCAGGCCCAGCAATCCAGATTGGGCTAGATGACCTCTAAGGTTCCTTCTGAGGTTGAAATTGTGATCCTGTGCCTATCACCCACGTATTCCTGGAAACTGTGACTCTTAATAGAGTTTAGGATTGCATTAGCTTTCTTGTTGCCTCACACTGAAATTAGAGCCCACTGATACCCCTAGAACTGGAACCAGAGGCCTGGGGGCCACGTGTGGCCCTCTAGGTCCTCAAGTATGACCCTTTGACTGAATCCAAACTTCACACAACAAATCCCCTTAATAAAATGATTTGTTCTGTAAAACTTGGACTCAATCAGAAGGCTGCACCCGAGGACCTAGAAGGCCATTTGCGGCCTCAAGGCCTCAGGTTCCCCACCGTTGCCCTAGATCTTTCCTAGACAATTTGTTGTCTAGTTTTGCCTCTACTATTACAATTGAGTGGTTGATTTTCTGAACCCACCATTGAATTTCATCTCATTTGATTCTGCCCAGTGTGCAGCCTGTTAAAATCTTTTTGGATCCTGACTTTGTCATCCAATATGTTAGCTCTCTCTCCCATCTTTGTGTTATGTGGAGATGTAAAAAGTATGTCTTCTATGCCTTTAACCATGTCATTAATGAAAATGTTAAATTGTCAAACAGAGTAGAGGGTCAAGGCAAGGAAGTCAAGGAAGGAAATCTCCTTGACCTTCCGTTTTCTTTGCCTCAGTTTCTCCTACTATAAAAATGAGATTACATTAGGTAGTTTTTAAGCTTCTCTTCTAGATCTGATTTTTTTGTGATCTGTGTCCTAAGTAGCTTCCCTCTCCTTTTCCTGCATTTTACCTATCCCCTCTTCATCTGTATCAGCAGGCACTGGAAATTCAAGATGCCATAAGAAGGTCCATGATGAGACGTGCAGGGCAAGATAATAACAATACTAGGACATGTGCTTCGTAGCATAATGTGGAATATAGGCAATTAAGACTGCTGGGGTTCAGAGGAAGGACAACACTGGGGTCAGAGAATGTCTTATGGAGGAATTAGGATTTGATTGGATCTAAAGGGATGACCAGGAATTAGGCAGAGGGGGAAAGGTACATCTGCTTTGGTGAAGTCAGATCTCATTGACTTGAGTGAAGGGGCTTATGCTAGGAAATGGTGACAGAGAAGGTTGGAGAGATAAGTATGGGCTAGATTGTGGAGGGCCATCAATGCCAGGATAAATTATATCCTGTAGGCACTGGAGAGTCATGGAAAGTTTAGAGGCTAGGGGCTGATATGTGCAGAGAAGTGTTTTAGTAAGGTAATTTTTTTGGGGGGGGGGTAAGGCAATTGGGGTTAAGTGACTTGCCCAAGGTCACACAGCTAGTACATATCAAGTGTTTGGTCTGAGGCCGCATTTGAACTCAGGTCCTCCTGACTTCAGGGCCAGTGCTCTATCCACTGCACCACCTAGCTGCCCCTAGTAAGGTAATTTTGCAGAGACAATGTAGGTTGGCTTAGAGAAACAAAATCCTAGAGGTTAAGAAAGATGAAGAGGTTTGGACTTAAGGTGAATGCCTCAACCAGAGTGTTGGCAGGATCCATGGAAAGTTGGGGGGGGTTGAAGTCAAGATTTACCAAGACTCACAGTGCCTGGATGTGGAGGGCCAAAGAGAGAAAAGAATCAAAAAGGACTCTCAGGTTCCAAATTGGGAGAATGACAGAAATACAGAATTGTTTGGGGAAAAAGATGATCTCACATTTATCCCTGTTGAGTTGGAGAGGGATGACTGCCCCTTGACTGCATTCTCAGCCTCCCCCCAACTCCACCCTACCTCGGCCCTCTCCCTGCAGAGGTCCTGTACTACACAGATGACACTGCTATGACCAGAGCCCTGGTGCAGTCCCTGCTGGCCAAGGAGGCCTTCGATGAGGTGGACATGGCCAAGAGGTGAGGTGGGGGTGGGTGAACAAGGCAATTCCCTGATGTGGCTAATGGTTGTCTAAGGTTTCTGAGCCTCCTGCCCAGAAAGACTAAGACAATGACCCCTGCTGCTTATCCCTAGACCGTTTCTTCTGCTCATCCCCCTTCCCTCTCCCTGGGCTATTTCCTTTTCTTGGCTTTGGGATCTCTTGAGGCCCAGCCAGGGTCCTTGCCTTTTCTTCTCCAGGTTCGCTCAGGAGTACAAGAAAGATCCAGATCGAGGCTATGGTGCCGCGGTGATTACTGTGTTCAAAAAGCTGCTGAACCCCAAATGCATAGATGTCTTTGAGCCAGCTCGGGCTCAGTTCAATGGGAAGGGTTCCTATGGCAATGGGGGTGCCATGAGGGTAGCTGGCATCTCCTTGGCCTACAGTCATGCCCAAGATGTTCAGAAGGTGTGTGAGCTAAGCTGACCACTGGGGTGGTTTTTCCTTCTCTTCCCTCTTCTCCGTGGCATGGTGCCAATGATAGCATTCCGTTCTGCCTCCATCCTGTTCCCTGGCACAGCTCTGATGACAATTATTCTTTCTCTGTCCTTTCCCACCTCGCTTTCTGCAGTTTGCCCGGCTCTCAGCCCAGTTGACCCATGCCTCCTCGCTGGGCTTCAATGGTGCCATCCTGCAGGCTTTGGCCGTGCACCTGGCCCTACAAGGGGAATCGTCTCAGGAGCAGTTTCTCCAGCAGCTCTTGGACCACATGGAGGAAGTGGAGAGTGATGACCGGTCTCTGTCGGAAGCAAGGGAGTAAGTAGGGATGGACACTTGAACGCTGTTGGCTGAGTGTGGGCTGAGCCATGAAGGTCTGGGCATGAACTAGGCCAGTGCTAGCAATGGACTAGGATCTGATCATTTTCCTTTTCCTTTTTTTCTTGGAAAGCACTGAGTAAAAGTTGAAAGAAGTCCATACTTTTTCAGAGGAAGAGGTGCCCTGTTGGGACTCCTTGGATCTCAGGGAACAGATGCATGCTGAACCAGATTTTACACTGTCTGGGCCCCCCCCCCCATTGAAAGGGTCTTCCCCTAGATGCTTCTCAGCATTCTGAGACCTAAGACCTACTCCATTCTCCCAAGTGTGGCCTCTGTGCCCATGAGCTGTGACCTCCCTGGCCTCTCTTTGATTCTCAGGCTGGGCATGGGGGACCGTCCATACTCGAACAAACTGAAGAAGATCTCGGAGTTCTTGGAGCAGGGCTTCATGACCAAGGAGGAAGTCTTGTCTGAACTCGGTGGGTTGGCTGCAGGCTGTACTTTCCTCTCCTCCCACCCCCTCCCTCAGCCCCAGATGGCTAGGCCTGCCTCCATCCTTCAGGGCCCAGAGAGGAGAAGATGCTATAATTCCCTACCCTGACTTGTCCTTGCCGCCCCTGGGTCAAGGGCAGGGATGAGGACGTGCATCTCTGCCACTGAGCTCTTCTCCCAGGGGAGAAACTTGGCTCTTGTGGAGGTTGAAGTGGAGAAGCTGGGGTGGGGGCTCAGGTTCCTTTACCTTCTTTTCAGCTTTGAAAGCAAAAAAGTGCCATCTTACCAGTGCCCAGAAACGACGCACCAGTTTAACTTATCTACCATAAAACACAGGAGTACTTTAGCCAAACTAAGTGTCTTGACTACTCATTTGGCCTCATCTATTTCTCTTCCTTGAGCCAGCTTACTAGGCTTAAGAACCTTCCCAATCATGTGACCCAGTCGCACCCTTGAAAGAGAGAAATCTCTGTGCTGGGGTGATCTCAGACTGCCTACACCTCGTGTCCTCCACAGGGAATGGCATCGCAGCTTTTGAATCGGTCCCCACCGCCATCTACTGCTTCCTGCGCTGCATGGCTCCTGACCCTGCAATCCCAGCCACCTTCAACGGCCTCCAGCGGACGCTCATCTACTCCATCTCCTTGGGGGGGGACACCGACACCATTGCCACCATGGCTGGGGCCATTGCTGGGGCCTACTATGGGTTGGAGCAGGTTCCAGAGAGCTGGCAGCAGAGCTGTGAGGGTTATGAAGAGACTGATGTGCTGGCCCGCAATCTGCATCAGCTCTTCAGTAAGGACCTGTGAGCATTGTTGCCAGCGCACATTCAGGCAGCAGCCCCTCACCAAAAGCGGCAGACCTCAGGGCCTCCTATGCTTTTCTGTCCTGCCCCTCCTGCAGCCTGGGTCCGAGTGTGGTGATTGGGAGCTGGGGCATGGGAAGAGGGGCCCTTCGTTTCATTGGTGGTGAGTGAGTGGTATAGGTGTGGTCCTCTGCTGGCCGGGCCCATTGTTTGACCACATCTGTGACCCCCCCAAATCCCCAGAGCTTGATTCTGGGGCTTGAGTCAGGACTACGTGACTAAAGCAGGAAAAGGTTTGAACTGAAGGGAGATATTTCTGACTCTTGGCAGTAATGAAAGATAATTGAAACCATGGGTCTGGGGAGGTAGATGTGGCCTCCAGAGTCCCACTCCTTGCAGGCTTGATCTCAGGAGTTTTGCTTTCCTGGACTGACCAAGCCTGGCCCACTGGCCTGGGGACTTCGAGAGTCTTGAAGTTGTTAGTTTGAGGGACCTCTTGGTTGAGGTGCCGCTGGACATAAGCTCTGTTGGGCTGAGTACCCTCTACAGCTTCCACTGGAAATCATGCAGCCTCCCAATAAAGTTACTGGCAGACCCTGCTGGTCTCTTCCAAGCTCCGTGGTCTTTGGCTCTGGATACTTTGTCTCTTCTGCCTGTGGGACTTCTTTGTTCCATCCTGGTAGTGTGTCCCAGCAGGAATGGTGTTGGGGGGTAGAGCTGGGAACCCAAGGAGACAGGGAGGCAGGTTCCTCTGAAAGAGCCTGAGACAGCCTGTGGGATCTGTGGGGAAGGTCAGAGTAGTGGCCATTCTGAGAGCTTTTCTTGCAGGGTGTCACAGCGGGGCTTAAATGATTGGGCCAATTCTACCACAAGAATGTTTTCCTCAAGGATTTGAAAGCTACTTAGCCTTGGATATCAAGAAGGGTGAGGGAGTCGGGGACAAGTATGGGTCCAAAAAGTTTCTCCTGCCCAGTGGGAGCCAGACTTGGCCCCTCAGGCTCACCAGATCAAGGACAGAAGCCTGCTTTGGGGCAGCTGCAGTGGAAAGCGAAACGGCACCTGATGAGAGTCAGGGCCAGGCAAGATCGTTATCTGTGTGACTGATGGCCACAGGATTGTTCCATGTGGAGCAGCAAGAACCCTGTTACATCTGTTTTGTCGAAAGCACTCTTCTGCAGTCTATCTTATGGAATGTTTCCCCTTGCAAGGGTCTTGTTTGCTTGCCCTAGCTGGCTTCCAAGAGGAAGTCGGTTTGCCCCAGAGCAGGGATGGATGCACTTGGGAGTTTACACAAAGAGTCTCATTCCTGGATAGGGAAGAGTGCGTCAGGCAGCCTCTCTGGGATGCTGCTGCCTTGCTGGAATCTCTCCTGCCCCCTCAGAGCTGTGGGAATGTGAGGTCTGAGCCCCCTGCCTACCGTGGGGAGGTCTAGCCTGGGGAGCAATTTGCCCCTCACTGAGAACAAAATGTGGTGGTGGTGGGGGGGGGGGGGATTGTCAATGACAGCTATTTCTAGGCTCAGTTGGGCCTCCTTAGAGACCAAATTGGATTTTCCAAAGAGTCAAAGGATAGGTAAGAGTGTCCCAAGTTGGCTGTCCCCAAATCTGCCTAGCCCAAAGAATAGAGAGCTCTCCTTGAGGAAGTTAGTACCCCTGGTTGCCCCAGACCAAGGCTGTCAAACACACGCTTTCATAGGGAACTTTATAAGGCATCTGGTCCAAACCCCTGCCTGAAGACAAAATCCTATCACACAAATGGTCCCTAGGGCTCAGTTTAAAAACTTCTAATAATGGGGAGTTCACTATGTCCTCATCGTGAGGGAGGTCAGTTCCAGACAGCTGGCTCACCTTGAACCCCATCCTCCACACTTGAGAACTGGTGCCTGACTACAGCTCTGCCTTCCCTTGGGAATGAGGATTAGTGATTTCATTCATAATTTGCATCAGATGTTGAAATAACTTGTGTTAGGGTCACTGAGCCAGCTGTCACGCTCCACTGCTAGGGAGCTCCATGGAATGCTCTGGAGAGGTTTGGTGTCTGCCCCAGATTAGCCATTGGCAGGCCAGCAGCTGCCTTTCTGGGCTTGGCCAGAATTGCCCTAAGAATAGATTGGTTTTGTGTGTGTGTGTGAACCCCTCCCACCTTGGAACCATCCTGAGTATAGCTAAGGACAGTCCTTGAGCCTGGAGTAGGGGCTGTGTACCCATGTGGGCTGCAGACAAGTTTGCTTAGAGCTTCAGGGAGACAAGAAAAGGCAAGAGAACTGGGCTAAGACCCTGGGTCTAGCCAGTGCCTTCATGAGCTCATGTTTAGTACAAGAGGACAGCTCAACGCTGTGTTTTAATAGATTTTATTGATGTGTCAATACAGTCAAGTACTGTAGTTTTAGTTCCAAAGAGAAACCCATTTGTTTATCACAAGTGTTGGTTTTGTTTTTTTTTTTAACCGAATTTGCTCTGACACAGTTCATGGAATAGGTATGTACAAAACTACAACCCTCTATATGTCAGGTTAGAAATGAAGATACTAGAGGCAAATATTTTAAACATTTAAAAAAAACCAGTAAGAATTAGAATATACAAATGCATAGGGGTAATGCAGTTTTCATAGTTTAAAAATTGACAGACTTGATCAAAGTCAGCCCTTAAGGAGGCACCTAAAAGTGACCAATCCAAGGTCCTGCTGGCGGGAGTCCTTGCCAAGTGGCCAGGAGCACGTGGTGGGGGACAGTCCTGGCTTGGTGGCTTCCTTCTGCCCCTGACTCCACATTTGGAGCAGATCAGTGCCTGCCTGGCCATTTCAGCCCAAGGGAGTAGTGGCTTTGGCACAGGAAAGGAAAGGGACAAGTGACACACAGCTGTGGTGCTTCCTGCAGATAGATAAGCCCAAGAAGGGTGGGAAATCGTACAAGGCCCTCAGACCTTCCTTTTCCCAAGCTTCTGCACTCAGCTTCTTCCCCAACCCTTATACCAGAGAGTGAGTTGGACTGCCTTTTGTTTGTCCCTGCCACCACGAGATGGGGACTCAGGTGGCCTAAATCGTGGAGAGGGATGTCAGGTTGCACAAAGGTTAGCAAAGGCCCCAAGCGAGCCAAAGACCTAGAGAACAAGCAGGAGCTGGCAGTAGTTTTGTTACAACAGATGCTGTGCTCTGGAGCGGATAGCACCAGCAATTTCAGAGATGATTCCAAGGTTCACATGTAGTCTAAGTAAAAGTGGTTGGGTTGGTCAGGCATAGGACCCTCGGCTTTAGGGGCCAACCCTAGCTTATAGGGCTGCTGGGCATTTAGTTTTAATTTGAAGGGAAACCCCTTCTCTCTTCACAGTGGGGTGGAGTGGCCACTGGCCTTGCTGTCTGTCCCCCGTTATGTCTCCTTCGTTTCCCCACCCCCAGAGCTAAGACAGGAACTGGTGATGAGAGTGCACTGCAGCTATCAGCCAACAGTGAACCCTCTGGCAGAGAGAACCTTCCAAAGCTTCTCTCCTGCCCCTTTGGTGAACATCCACTGGAAATCAGAAGTCGGGAAGAAGACAACCTGACTGCCCTCTGTCCTCTTTCCAGATGCGGCCGCCAAGACTAACATCTGTTACCATCCAGTCTTCCTGCTCTTTCTAGACCCTAAGATTATATGGAACATCAAAATGAAATGGGAGAGGGCCCCTGACCCTTGCTTCATGGCTCTTGTTCAGGAAAGCGAGGTGGGAGCGAAGAAACCAATAAATACCTAGACGCCAAGTCAATCTGCCACAGACTGGTGGCATGGTCCTCACCTGAGGACTATGGGAGCAGGAGCTACAGTGCCTTAGCCTTGCACAGAAGTCCTCTTGATTTGCACCTGATGGAGGCGGGTGAACTGCGGGATCCCAATACTGAACGCACTGCACCCCATCCACCCAGTGCCTTTGGAGGTGTCTTTCTCACCTTCCCCACATCTGGGTGCTCTGTCTTCCTGTCCCTTTAAGAGCCCCCTTGGGAGTGGATTTTTCTTGATTCTTGACTCTCCACATTTCCCCTCCCCTTCCTCCAGTAGGAGTTTGGGCTGTGGGAGATGAGGGAAGGCAAGGACGAGTAACCCCACGTAAGCCGGCCAGAACCAACCGCAAGCTTCATTCCTGTTCACCCATCTAGTTGGACTACTTAAGGGGAGTTGGTGACCAGTATGGGCAGTAAGCTCATTGCACTTTGTCCTAAGGGGACACTACACAGGCCATCGAAGCATCTTTGGCACGAGATTGACTAGGGGCTTGTCTTCCTCTCTCTCCCAAAATAAAACTTGTCTTGGAGCCAGAAGCCCCAGACTTTGGAGCTGGGGGCAGTTGGGATGGGAGGCTTCTTTGTAATCTCAGTGCAGTCTGAGTGTGAGAGGCCCCCACTTTTTCACCCAGAGGAGAGAGGCAGATTTCCAAGAATGGTCAGTGAGTCTCTGCCCCAAGACATGTGCATAGAAGGCCCATGAGTCCCCTAGTCCTTGAGATAGGAATGGAGCAATTCCAATTAAGGCCCAGAAGCCAGGAGCCACATGCCCTGAGTGTGAGTTAAGACTCATCATCTCTGAGGCCGCACAGTGGCCGTCTGCTTCAATTCAGCACCGTCTTCAGCCCCAGTCCCAGGAGGAATGGGGGAAGGGGAGGCGGTCCCACCTTTGCAAAGCCTCCTTGGGGATCAGTCTCTTTCGGAAGCAATTGGAAGAAGAAAGCAGATCTCCTGTAGCCACTGCCGTCTCCCAGTCTTCTCTCTCACCATCAGGTCCTTTGCTTTTAATTAAAAAATAATACTACTACTAAAAATGGGTGTGGGAGGGGGAGTTGGTGGCGTGGGTCCCTGGCCTGTTATGTGGGGCAGAGCAGGAAGCCGGAGAAGGACGAGTGGATGTACTCAGTGGAGTAGAGGCCGTTGGCTTGGTCTGAGGGCATCTGCACCCAGACCTGGTCGTTAGTACGAAGCTCAAGCACTGCCCCACCTGACGCCTGATCCAGGTAGCCTTTCTTGTACTCGTCGTAAGTATAGGTGGCGGGGACGTTGTTCTTATAGAGAGCCACCCACACACTGGTGCCCTTGACATGCACGTGGTAAGCAAAGTAATAGACACCACCAATGGGGCAGGTGAAGATGCCGGTGGCAGGGTTATAACCACTGTGGCCGTTGTACAGCGTCCGGTCAAACTTGACTGGCATCCCCGAAGCCGGGAAGGGTGAGGTGAGCACAGCGGTGAAGGCTGGGGCGACGCCGACCGACAGCTCCCCGAGACCAGACTGGGGTTTGGCCCCCCTGCCGTTGCCTAGCACTGCCCCCTCAACCCCACCATTGGGCAAGTGCAGGCCCGCGATGCCCATCTCATCTAAGCCCCCTGGGGGCCCAGGTGGACCAGGGGGCCCTGGAGGCCCTGGGGGGCCGTTAAGTCCTGGGTTGCCAGGGATGCCAGGGGGGCCTGTAGGTCCAGCTAAGCCTGGCTCACCCACCCTTCCTTCCCCAGGGGGACCTTGGAGGCCTGGCTCCCCTTTCAGGCCTGGAAGACCCTGGGGCCCGATAGGACCTGATGGGCCCTGAAGCCCAGGAATCCCTGAGGGTCCCCTCAGGCCAGGCTGGCCTGGAAGGCCTATCTCCCCTTTCTGTCCCAGCCCTCCTGCTGCACCTGGTCCCCCAGGAAGCCCAATGATACCTGGTTCTCCCTTAGGCCCACTTGGCCCTGGAGGTCCCTGTGCCCCAGGTAATCCCCTCTCTCCAACAACCCCAGGTTTTCCCACAATGCCACTTGGCCCCTGGTCTCCTCGGATCCCGGGCACCCCTGGAGGCCCACTTGGCCCTGCCTCCCCTTTGGCCCCAGGTAGCCCGTGTCTCCCTGGTAGTCCCATGGACCCAGGAAGGCCAGGAGGGCCCATAAGGCCCTGAGGTCCTGGTTCACCTGGCTCACCATCCACTCCTGGCTCACCTGTATCACCCAGACCTCCTGGGACTCCTGCTGGGCCCCTTTCCCCTTTGAGGCCTGGGATCCCTGGCTTCCCATAGCCTGTAGGGCCTGGCAGGCCAGGAAGGCCCCTGATCCCAGGTTCCCCCTTTGCACCTACAGGCCCCTGGGGCCCAGGCACACCTATTGCCCCAGGTATCCCAATGCCATCTAGTCCCGGGGGACCCCTTGGGCCCAGGGCCCCTGGCTCCCCAGTTTGTCCTGGTCCCCCAGGGGCCCCAGTGGCTCCTTTGTCTCCTGGGGCACCTGGAAGCCCATCCAGGCCAGGTTTGCCCAAGCCCATGGGACCTGGAGGTCCTGGAGGGCCAGGGGGACCTCCATTACCTGGGACACCTGGCTGGCCTGGTGTACCCACCCCATTATCACCCTTAAGGCCTCTTTCCCCCCGAGGTCCTGGCTCTCCTCTGGGGCCTGGTTCCCCCCTAAAGCCTTGTGGACCCAGAGCACCCTGTGGGCCTGGTTTGCCAGTGACAGCAATGCCTGATGGGCCTGGAAGTCCAGGGGGCCCTGGCAGTCCTCGAAGGCCCTGGTCCCCCCGAAGGCCTGGCTCACCCTTGGGACCTGGCTCACCCTTGCTGCCCACTTTACCTGGGACACCTGGGACACCTGGCTTACCCATCCTAGAGAAGCCTGGGGGGCCAGCGGGGCCTGGCTGACCATGCAGACCTGGCTTGCCTGTACCTGGCTTTCCTGGGTAACCAGGAGGTCCTGGAGGGCCCCGGGGGCCAGGCTTTCCAGGTGGTCCAGGTTCCCCTTTTAGGTCCATTGGCAGCATTGGTGGTGGCAGTTCTGAGGAAAGAAATAGACAGATAGGATGTCCATGGTCAAAGGCTTTGGGAATGAGATCGCTTCCAGCACTTCTTCCCTTCCTACTTAGCCTAAAATAAAGAACCTCAAGGCTTTGAGGGCAGAAATTGGGGAGAGAAAAGACTCAACAAGCAGTGAAACCTCTGGAAGCTGTGGCAGGTATGGAGAAGGCACATTTCCCTGTGGGAGACTATGGTCCAATGGGACCACTGAAGAGGCAGTAGGACCTGCTCTTGTTCTGTGGTTCCCCCCACCAGGGATTGTGGGGGAAGGGGGGCAGCTGCACACCTATAACTTGAAACAGTCTCTTTGCTGACTTTCTCCTTCAGACCCCTGGCTGGGGCTCTCTGACTAAAGCAGACGTTCTTGGGGGCTGGAGCTCCTTCAATGGGAGGGAACTGACCCAGTCACTCAAGGCTACCCACTCAGAGCCCACTCACCTAGAGGAGTGGAACCCAAGGGCTGCAGGTGTATGGGGAGAGGGGTGTGCCCAAATTATAGAAGATCTTCTCCCCTTGGCATCTGTACTAGGGAAAAGGGTAAGATGAGAAAGCCCCCCGATGACATCACTCTGCCCCCTTTGCCACTAGAATAAAACAGTCACAGATAGGAAGGATGGAAAACCAGAAAGGCAGTGACAGAGACAAAGCATTTCACAGACACAGTGGAGGTACTGACAGAGGTCAAGAGAACTAGCGAGGAGGAGGAGCTGTCCATCTCCTTCGACTGGCCCTGGACACAAGGTTAAGCTGAAGTCCCCGTAACTCCTGCATGTGCTCCTTATTTCAGTTAGGTAGGTCCTGAGTAGGGACAGGGCAGAGAATGAAGAGGAAGGAGAACAGAGGGAGAAAAGAAGCAGGGCAGGGAGAAGTGGGAGGAGCAGAATATTTGCAGATGGAGGTGTTACGTGATTGTTGTTATTTGTCCTTCCTTCTCAAAGAGGACCATACCATCAGGAAGATGATGCCATGACTTGCAAGTGAATTGGATTGAAGTGAGGGAGGGCTGTGCAAAGTCACCAGCCTCAATCCCTCCTCTAGGGCCATCTGCATTCAGTGGCCAGATATCGATCAGAATGACTAGAGATGGCTCTGGATGCAGCGGGAGACCTTAGCCTTTTTAAGCTTCCCGGTCTCGGTTTGGCTGAGGCAACGCCTCCTTCAGTGATTAAGGTTAAGTAAGAAATAAGGCAGAGAACGGCCTCTTTCACCTAGTCCAAAAAAAAAAAAAAATCAGTCTGGGAGGGGAAGACCGTCAGGGTTTAGAAGAAGCAAAGCGGAGGAGAAAGGAAAAGAGGAGGGAAAAGACGGGCGCAGGAGGGGAGAGGAGAGGCGAGGCAGAGAGAAGAGGGAAGGGAGGGGCTAACGCAGGCATGGGGCGGGCGAAGGACAGGGAGAGGATGGGCGGGGCTCAGGGAGGGGAGAGCCCAGTGACTGGGCAGGGCTGGCCAGAGGTGGTGCTTACCTAGGTATTGGCCCTTGCCCTCCCGGAAAGGGGGTCCGGCTGGTCCTTTCACCATGGGCTGCACGTACTTCACTTGCGCGTAGCCTCCCCCAACGGCCCCTCCTCCAGCTGCGGCGCACAGCCCGGTCACCAGCAGCAACAGCAGCAGCGGCAGAGAAGGGGGCGAAGGCCCCGGCGGCATGGCGGCTCCCGCTCCGTTTGGGCTCTGGCTCCGGTTCAAGCTCTGGTTCTAAAGGCGAATCTCTCTGCTGGGAGGGACAGCAGAAGTTCAACATGGTCACAGGCTCCAGGGGCCTTTACAGGGAGATGAGGCTCTAGGGGGTCCTTTGGGAGGGGGGTATTGGATGTCAGCAGGATCATTATCAGTAGATTAGCAGGGTCACTATTGAGGGATCAGCAGTTATCATTAGATCAGCAGGGCCACTATTCAGGGAATATCAGGATCACTACTGGAAATTGATAGAAGGGTCACCATTGGAGGGAAGTCAGCATGAGCACTATACTGTGAGTGGGGGTGGGGAGGCTCTTAAAGAAAGGGAGAGTAGTAGCAGGAGTAGAGAGAGGCAAAAGTTTCCATTTTCCAAAAAGAGGGCATATTCTGCAAGCTGAGACTAATGAGCCTGACTTTACTACCTGGAAGAATTCTAGAACACATTTTTTTTTTTTCCTTGCTAGGCAATGGAGTTAAATGACTTGCCCAAGGTAACACAGCTAGTAAGTGTGAAGTGTCTGAGGCCACATTTGAACTCAGGTCCTCCTGACTCCAGGGTCAGTGCTCTACCCACTGCGCCACCTAGCTGTCCCTAGAACATATATTTAAAGGGATGAAAAGGGGGAATCATAAAAGCCTTTTTTAAAAAGGAGAATCAGAAAAACCTTCATAACAGCTAGAATTTATAGAGTGCCTTAAGGATTGCAAAGCATTTAACTTGTCTTCTCATTTGATCCTCACAACAATCCTGGGAGGTAGGTGTTATTATTATAAAATATAATAAATAAATAAATATAATTTATAAAATAAAATTATAAAATAATATTATTATTTTACAGATGAGGAAACTGATACTGAAAGAGGTTAAGTTATTTGTCCAGGGTTACACAACTAGTAATAATAATACTATTAACTTGCATTTACATAACACTGCTTTACAAATAGTATTTCATTTTATACTCACAACAGCCCTGGGAGGTAGGTACTCATGATCTTCATTTTACAGATAAGGAAACTGAGGCAGAGGTTAAGTAACTAGTCCAAGATCACATAGCTAATAAGAATCTGAGACTGGATTTGAAGTCAGGTCTTCTTGAGTTTAAGTCTAGTTCTCAGTCTACTCTGCCCCAGGGGTATAAGACCATATTAGAGAAATTTGGCCCACAAGTATTTGCCTAACTTTCAGCAAAGCACATGACAAATATTCTCCTGTTTGTAAGATAGACCTGGGCTAGATGATAGTGTAGTTAGGTGAATTGGCAACAAGTCAATGTCAACTTGAAGGGCAGTCTAACCGATTGCCCCCAGGGGTCTGTTCTGGTTGCTATGCAGTTCAACATTTTTATCAATAATTTTAATGAAAGTAGAGTTGGCATGCTTATCAAATTGCCCAGATGACAAGAAGCTTGGAGGGATAGTTGACACATTAGATGACGGGAGTCTGGAGTCCCTCAAAAATCTCAGGCTAGAACAATGAACCATTTTTTTTAAATATGAGATTTGATAGGGATAATTATAAAGTCCTATCCTCCATTTCCAAAAATTAACTCCACAAAAACAGGATGGGGGAGGTTAGACAATAGTTTGTGGGAAAAGCTGAGGGGGAGGGTTGTGTATTACAAGCGCAATGTGAGTCAACAGTGTGCTAAGGGAGCCAAAAAATCAAAAGGTCCCCTGCTAGACTGTAGTTAGACAGAATCACTAATAGAATCAGTTCTATCCCACTGAGGGAGATCTAGCCCCCAGGAACATCTGCTTTAGTCAAGAGATCCCCAGCACTGGGGGTGGGGGTCTGAGGAAGAAGGTTGAGGGTGATGGGGGTGATGATCTTATTATACTTTGCCCTGGTCAACCCATATCTGGGGCATTGCATTTATTTCTGGGCATCATATTTTGGGGAAAACATGGAAAACCTGGAGCATGTCCAAAGATAGTAGCCAGAATGATACGACTGGAGTATATGCTTAATGAAGATTGACAAAAGGAATAGAGCTAAGGTCATTCACCTCACACACAGAAAATTGGTAAAGATGGGCATAGTGAATGTTGGAGGCGTGATGGTAAGATGGATACACTAGTGCAGTGGTTATCAAACTTTTTGATCTCGGGATTCCTTAATACTCAAAAATTACTGAGGACCCCAAAGAGCTTTTGTTTATTTAGTTATAGCTATCAATATTTACTGTATTTGAAAATAAAACAAATTTTAAAGTATTAATTTAAAATAACAATAATAAACCCATTAATATGAGCATAAATTACATTTTTAATGAAAAATAATTTTATTTTCCAAGCCAAAAACTTTAGTGAGAAGAGTGGTATTGTTTTACATATTTTTGCAAATCTCTTTAATGTCTGGCTTAACAGAAGACAGGTGGATTCTCCTATCTGCTTCTACATTCAATCTGTTATGATATATTGTTTTGGTTGAAGTATATGAAAAAAATCCAGCCTCACGAAGATATGTAGCTGGCAAAGAAGGGAAATATTTTAATAAGCAAATAACATCTTAGTATTATGACAAAAATAGTTTTGACTTTATGGACCACCTGAGTCTCGGGAATCAAAAAGTGTCAGAGGACCATGTTTTGAGAAGTGATGCATTAATTCATTATTGGTGGAGCTGTAAATTGGTCCAACCATTTTGAAGAGCAATTTGGAATTATGCTAAGAAAGTGTTTAAAATGCCCATACTCTTTTGCCTAGAGATCCCACTGCTAGTAACATACCCTAAAGTAATGTGACTAAAAGAAAGGCTCCAAATACACTAAAATATTTGTAGCAGTACTTCTTACAAGAAGTAACACTGATTATGGTCTATGAATGTAATTACTGGGTTGTAAGAAATGACTATGATGAATTACAGAGAAGCGGGAGATCTACAAGAACAGATGTAGAGTGAAGTAAGCAGAACTAGGGAAACAATATACACAATATCTGCAAGAATGTAAAATGGATGAACAAACACAACAAAATAATTGAAACTAAATGCTGTTAAATTATAAAAACTAAGCTTGTCCCCAAAGAAGGGAAATAAGAGGCCACCTCCTACTTCTTTGCAAAGGTAGAAGACTGGTTGTGGAACAGTACATAGGTCAGGTTTGTTTGTTTGTTTTAATATGTTGCTTAGTTTTGCTGACTGTTTTTTCTCCTTCCTTTCTGCCCTCCTAGAAGCCAAAAAGACAAGAGTTCAAGCCCTGCCTCTGACACATACTGGCTGTATGATTCAGAGCAAGCCTCTCAGTGCTCCAGGCAATTATCCGATACTGGATGCTGTAGAAATGGTGTCAGCCTCTATTGGAAAAAGGAGTTTCCTCACCTGGGCACTCCTAATACCAAGGAAAAGTCCACTCCCTATTCCTGGGAGAGGAGAGATACATTGGGAAAGCAGGTGAGGGATCCAAACAAAAGCTGTCAACAATTTTTTTTTAAGGTACCGGGGGATGTTTAGCCTGGAAGAAAGAAGACAAAGGAAACTTCATAGTTGCTGTCAAGAATTTGAAGAGTTGTCATGTGGAATTTGTTCTCCTTGGTCCTAGGGGACAGCAATGGGTGGGGCAGATTTAGGCTTTCCTAGACTAAGTTTCTTCATCTTTGGAGCTCTCCCCAAGAGTCAAAGGTGTCTTCAAGAAGGAGTGTGATCCTCTCTCCTGGGAAGTCTTCCTTTGGAGACTGGATAACCACATGTTCAGTACTTTTGTAGAAGAACTGGGTGAGGCTAGATCTTCCAGTTCAGAGACTCAGTGCATCTTGGGTCAACTAGAGAAGGGGGCAGTACTATCACTCTCACAGCATAGTTAGCTGTCATTATTACTGGGAATCAGTATGGGCCCTCTTTAGGGGGAATACAAAGAGAGACTTGATTTCAAATCCTGCCCCTGACATTACATGTGTGTTTATAATCAAGTCACTTAAGATTTCTCAGCCTTCATTTTCTCTTCTGTAAAGTGGAGACAATATTGCCTTTCTTCATAGCCCGAGCACTTAGCACAGTACTTGACACATAGGAGGTGCTTAATACTTATTTTGTGGATGACAATGATGATAACAATGATAGCGATACTTGCATCAACGTGTTTTGAGGCTCAAATGTAATAATACGTGTAAAGCGCTTTGCAAATATCAGCGGGCTCTAGTAATATCAGCTGATGTTATTATAGAGAGGGGATCTGGAGTCAGGAAGACTTTGGTTCAAGTCTTGCCTCTTACACAAGGTTTTATGACCTTGGGCAAGCGCCTTAACCTCTCAGTGCCCCAGGTACTCTGAGTTGGTGAGCAGGTGTTTATCTTCATTCCTAGACCTAGTTTTATCCCTAGGAGCTCCTTATATCAATGCAACCCATAGGCTTGTCTGAAACATTATATTGTCACTTTTAGTAGGGCTGGATTTAGAGAGAAAATTGGAGAGGAGAGGAATCAGAGAATAATGGAATATTAGAACTGGGAGGGACCTTAGAAACTCTCTTATCTAATGCCCTTAATTTTTAAGAGAAAACTGAACCCCAGGGAGGGGAAAAGACTTACCCTAGGTCACAGGGTCAGTTAGTAAAGGAACAGAAATGGGAGGTTTTGGAAGGGAAGACTGGGGAATTGGGCGAGGGGTGGGGTGGGGGTGGGGTGTCGTGGTAGGGATGACTGAGAGGACTGTGGAGGTAGTGAGAGGAGCGGTTGGGGCCTGAGCCATGACTGTGGGTTGAACCAGGTAAGACAAATACAGGAAGTGCTGATTCAGGGGGTTTGGGAGGAGTCCACTCTGTATTGTGACAGCTGTAAACCCTTAAAGGAGATTTTTTTTCCCCCTTTCACCAAATCCCTGTGAAATAGAGTTTCATCCAAGTCAGCGATTCTGCAGTAAAAGCCTGGTTGGAGTCAGAAAAGAGCCAGAATTGTCTTGGGCCAGGGCCCTCCCTGCTTTCCTGCCTATGGAGGGGCCAAATAGCAGGCCAAGATGATGGAGTTCACCCCTGTCCTTCCTGAGGGGTTCCTGTAGATTGAATGCCTCTAGGGCTATACTGTCTTTTGTTTTCCTTTGTATCC